AACATATCATGTTTGATTTCGTATACGAAACTGCGAGCCCCATATTCCATAATCCATAGTAGAAAATTACTCTGAGTCATGTTTTGACTCAAGTTTAAGAATTAAAAATTACAGTTTTGTAGTCAACACAGTTAATCCATAGTTTAAGAATTACAAATTACTCGGAGTCATGTTTTTCAACGACGGTTTTCTATTTGTTGGTTTTTTTTTCATAGTTTCATTTATGAATATATTTAGTGGTGTGAAATAGTACGATGATTCAAAGTTGGTTTTAAATTTTACTTTTTTTTTAATTTTAATATTAATTATTCGGACATCCAAGATTTACAAACAGGAATATCGTCCATGATTTAATTTGCACCAAATCGAGAACATACGTACTATTAATTAACACCTATTTCTTTCTTGTTTTGTTTTGGTGAAAACCAATACTTACTTTGATGTTTTCTATTTTTGCAATTTTCTAGTTGAAGACCTTTTTTTGTTTGTCAATTCCAGTTGAAGACCTAATAAAAAGGATGAGGACTTTTTATTAAAAAAAGACATGCTTTCTGTCATCGATAATTAAACTGTATATAGTATTCTAAAAAATAGAATTGTTAGACGTTACATTGGTAGTGAGAACAAAATATCACTATCTTAGAGAATACAATATTTGCAAAAAAGGCCCACCAGAATCCAGACTATTGGCTCATTAACCAGTCTCCACTCGTCCACTCTCCTAGGACCTAGGAATTTGGTCGCAGAAACGTCTTTCTCCACGGAAATAGAAATTTCGTCTGATTAAGTAAAAACCCTAGATCTCAACCTGATTCTCTCTCACTCTCTCCCCAAAAACCTTGAGCGGCTTCCATGGAAGGATCTTGATCTCTGATTCTCTTCTTACGCCAAAGTTCTCGCAATTTCTCTTTCACTCTCTCTCTCTCTTCCACTCTGTGGCGCTTCTCGTCTGAGTCGGAGTCGAGAAGCGCTTCTTTTCCCAACCTGATTCTCTCTCCCCAAAAACCTTGAGCGGCTTCCATGGAAGGATCTTGATCTCTGATTCTCATCTTACGCCAAAGTTCTCGCGATTTCTCTTTCACTCGCTCTATCTCTCTCTTCCACTCTCTGGCGCTTCTCGTCTGTTCCTCCTTTGTTCATCTTCGTTCTCCAGGTACTAGTAGTTTTTTTCATTTGCAGTCTGAGCTTTTTTGCTGTATATAACTATATATAATGTCGAGTTCGAAAATTTATTTGAAAAAGCATGACATTCGAGGTGGGATATTTCCGAATGAAGAAATATCGGTGACTAACTCGTTTGTTGTTTCTGGGTTGTTGGTTCTTTTGCTCTAGATCTGAAATATTGCGCGCAAAATCACTGTTAGGTTTGTTGCTCTGTTTATTGATGCTTTGCCTTTTTTGTTTCTGGGTCTGGGTTTTGGTTCTTCAGCTCTAGATTTGAAGTATTTTGAGCGCAAAATCACTGTTGGGTTTTCTGGAATTCGTCTTAGTCATTGCTTTGACACTCGATTTGCTTTTTATTTATGGGTTGTTGGTTCTTCTGCTCTATATCTGAACTATTTTGCGCAAAATAAATGTTAGGCATTCTGGAATTCGTATTCGTCATTGCCTTTGAGAGTCTATTGATGATGATTTGCTTTTTTTGATTATATAGTATGCCTGATAGCGTTCTCATACAAACTGGGCTTCGTCTTGGACTCATTTGGGATCTTCACACGGTTATATCTGTGGGCTTTTGCAATGAGCCTCTCATCTCTACCGCCTGGAGGCTTGTACCTTCAACTGAGCCCATTGCTGAAGTCCAAACAATCAGCAGCAGTTCTTCTTCTTCTGATGAAGTAGAAGTTGGTGCTGGTCCAGGCGATGATGGAGACACCGAATCTGAACACACTTCCTCTAATAAAGAAAAAGAAATTGGTGTTGAAGGGACCACCAGTGATTCCTCAGAGGGAGAAACCGGTGCTGGTGGTGACCGAGGAGGCTCTAGTAAAGTCAAATCAAAGAAGAAGAAACCTAGTAAAGGCACGGGCAAAATAACAATTACTGACACAGATAGCAAGTGGCCAAAAGTAAGTTTTGTGTGATTAATTAATGATTTATTTCCATTAACAAATACAGAAACCTAGAGTTATATTATAATTGTATTTTATCTAGGATCTTCCGGAAAACTTTCCAATTCATAAAGATTGCAGAGACGATGGCGTTCTTAGAGCAGATGTGACGATCCAAGGATCAAATGGTAATTATAATTGCAGAGATTGAATAGTGGTTTAAATAACTGTTTGACTTCTCATTCTTTTCTCTTCTTCCGGAAAACTTTCCAATTCATAAAGATTGCTTCAATGTTCTCTAAGAACATTGAAGCAACGATCAATATAAGAAATCGCAGTTTGGGGAGGAACCGACATCCAAGTCTGTCTGCTCAGCATCTGATCAATAACGTTAACAAGATGGATAATGGAGCGATGAGAAGATATGAAGGAGTTGAAAACTTTCTTGTGCACCAAGGACTAGTTAATGAAGACCGGTGTCCTTACACAGGCAGCATTGAAGAAGATGGCTGTGCTCATGCAAGGCCACAGGCAGAAGAAGTAAGTGCCTCTTTTCACCGTCTGTGACTCTTGTTTTGATCCCTCAAAATCGTTATGTTGAGTTTAGACCACTTATTGCGTATTCTCTTTCCTCTTTATATATCGAAGAATCTTTCGAGTCATTTAATTTCATATTTTTAATCAGGTAACCAGAATCAGACGCCTCGTAAGAATAAAGAAAAGCACATCAATGAGAAAGACCTGATCAGATTGGTAGCTCAAAGGCCGGTGATGGTCGAAATGAAAGCCTACACCAGCTTATTGCGTTTCAAGGGGGTAAGTCCTGAATTCTTTTATTGTTAACAGAATATGTGTATTTAACAGATAATGAGTCATGAATTCTGTATTAACAGAATATGTGTATTTAAGAGAAAATGAGTCCTGAATTCTTTTATTGGCTATGTGTATTTAACAGAATGGGATTTATCGTGGGAAAGTTCGCAAGGATCAACAGTCAATAAACCGTCACGCTCTTCTGCTCGCTGGTTACGGGACAACAGAGGACGGAATCCATTACTGGATTGTGAAGAATTCTTATGGACTTGACTGGGGTGAAGGCGGTTATGGGAAGATTATCAGGCAATGCAGCCCTGGAAACCCCAATGCCTCTTCTCTGTTTGCAAAAATAAGATATGCAGAGGTATTTCTATGAAATTGACTTGTCTGATTTGTCTATTTTAAATCTTCATATTTACTGTTTGCCTATATTTATGTCATGATATTTGCTGTTTTTCTTTTCCAGATTTGAAGATTCGTTAGATTTGGGAATTCGGCGTCTTTGCTGGTTTGTGTACCATCTCTTTAAACCGGTTAACGATGGTTTTCTATTATCCTCTTTGAACCATCGGTTTGGGAAGACTTTTGTTTCGGTCTATCTTTTTCTCTGAATTCTTCTACTTGGACATTTGTTGGGTTAAGTACATTTTCTTGTCAACTCAAAACGTGGGTTTGTTCCTACTTTGACATTTGTTGCGGACGTGGTTTGTCGGTTTAAAACGTGTTTTGCTTCGGTGATTAGACTTTTTTGTCGACGTACCAATATTGTTTTTAAAAAGCCCATAACTTGGACATACAAGTGGTTTAAGAGCCCAGCAAATTCGAGAATAAAAGAAAGCCCAATTGTAGTTTTAGATGATTACTCTTGATCTTAGTCAAAAGACCGAGATAACTATCAAAAGTCAACATAAAAATTAAAAGAAAGTTAACCAAGAAAAATAAAAAGTTCGGTACCGGTTCACAAAATAATTAAAAAAGCAAAATCGTGTGATTTGTTTGCTCACGTTTGGGAATCTGCTGCAGTCAAGTTCGCAGAGCCCAATTAAAAGAACGATCTTTTTCTCTCAAGAATTAGGGTTTCGAGTATTCTCCTCGGTTATGGATCCGCATGCCGTCGCCTCGTTTGGACCGCAGATCTCGCCTCCGTTGTGGACCCGCATCGTCGACAAGATATCTGAGGAACCAGATTCGAAACGCCAAAAGTTGGATGACGAGGAGGAAAAACGCGAAGAGTCCTCTACGTCTAGCGACGACTCCATGGCTTACGATTCGGATGATGTTCGAATGTACGACGAAGAATTCAAAAAACATGGGGTAATATGATTTGTGATTTGTATGGTTTCACTTGATTTCGATTTTTTTGAGTCTGATTTTTTTTTTGTCATCTCAAAAAGGCGTACGATTTTGACTGCTCGAGAGTAGGCCGCATTGTGGGTTATCGCCCTGTCATATTCGAGGATAGCGACTTTGCTGACGAACCGGAAACAGACGGAGAATTGATCAATCGATTATCGAAGACGGCTCTTGATAAATACAATACTGATAAGGTTTGTGTTAGCTAATCTTAGTTTTAATTATGCACAAGAACAAATCTCTAGGTATTTATGTTTGATTCTGTCCTATAGGGAAACAATCTTGAATTTGTGAAAGCAGTGAAGTCTAATTGGAGTATTGGAGGGGGACACATTTTCTCAATCACATTCGAGGCCAAGGATGCTTCTCAAAGTGAGCCTATACCTTTCCACGCTCAGGTTGGTTACTTTCCATGGAGAACAACTGTCTACGATGTCAAGCCTAAACCATGATCTTAGATAGGTAAGGACTCGAAAAGCCACTTATCCTTTCTCTAGAAACGGTTTAGAGTCACTTCTTCTTTTTACTTGTTCAAGGGTAATAGTTGTTTTTGATATGTGTTTAAGAGTGAGTAGAGGCCATTAGGAAAAGGCTGAATCTTTTTATATTGTTATCAGAGAGCTTTTGAAAAGATTGCTTCTTGCTTTTCTTGAATTCGAGTCGACAAGCCTTCATGCAAGTTATCTAGTTGACACAAGTATGATAATCTGGTATTTTGCAGCTTCACTGGAGGAGACTCAATCTTATGGAATCGCAAAGCTCGATCGAGTCACGGCCAAGTAGCTCCTTAATGATGATGACGTTCTACTTAGTTTTACTTTATCCGCAAACTTATTTACTGTTATTGGGATTAAAGCTTGTGCATCTTTCAACTCAATGCGTATCTCATAACTTGTATTGCCATAAGTTGTGTACTTGATTGTTTAAGCTTTGTTTTGATCTTTGGTGGGTTCTTGGTATAAAGACCATTAGTGTTTCCAAATTCAATATTGAATCTCTTCACCGTATTAAATCTTGGTTTCCACAATTCTCTAATGTTCTTGCGGTCAAATGAAAGTTAATCCTTCGTCTAAGTTCCTCCACATTAGTTACCATCTTTTAAAATTTCAACTTTTCATAAGTCATTAGTGAAGAGCAACCCGTGAACAGTTCTACATTTTTCTCCTCATGTCTCACAACCTTAAATTTGAAAAAAAAATGCAACTGGAGAACTGTAAAAAATGCTAAAAAAGAGTTGTATAATGTCATGTTTGATTTCGTATTCGTAATAGCGAGCCCAAATTCCGTAGTAGAAAGACGATATATTAACTCAAGTTTAATAATTAAAAATATTATGCAATTTTCTCATTTACTTAATTTTCGCAAAGGAACTACGGTGGTTACTTGCTACCAGTTACATTTTTCTCCACAAATCTCTAGAAATAGGGTGGGTTTTATTTTGATGAACTCATGCATTAGAACAATGCATCTAGAAGTTATTGGCATCATTCACTTCCAAATGATGGACTAATAGTCCGAGTTTACCCGTTGCATTTATGACAGCCGGAAAAAAACCAATGAAGGATAAAACTAAGAAGAACGATAATGGAAGAGCGAAAAAAGGTTTTGGAGATGTGTTTGTCAAGTTCTTTGATAAGCGAAGATGTGGATCATCGACTGCTATGGTATTCAGCAGTGCATAACAAATGATTAATTTTGTCTTATTCTACAACCTTAGGAGTGTAGCTTAGGTAAGCTTGTCAATTTCATTCAGTTTGATTTGGCAATCACGAGACATAGTTGATGGAAGTGATATCTCACCAAATGATATTTATTCTGTTGAATGTGTATTCATTTATGCTATATCTTGTAAATGCCCTGGGTCGCATACACTATCTTGACTGTTGTTGTTGAGTCTGTGGGTTGGAGAACCTATGAGAA